GATCTAAAGGGTTCGCCAAAGAAGAAGGCGACGAGCACGAAGTCGAAGAAGTCGAGGATGCAGCGGTCTTCGATTGTGACGACGAAGACGAACACGAAGTCGACGAACGAGACGGCTGAAGCGTTGTCGTCGGCGGCGGAGGAAGAGGGTTCCGGAAGGGGGAGAGATTCAAACTCTTTGACGGAGGTTTGAGGGTTTTGGTAACAGCGCTGCTCAGAAAATGACGGTGGGGATGTGACTTTTTCAGTTTTAAATTACCAAGGGTAATTTGGGGATTTATTTTTGGGTTATGGGTCTGTATACTATTTGGGGGCTTTGTTGCATTTTTTCTGTATAAGGGTTTTCCAGTTATGATTCTTAGGCTGGGGGTGGAGATGCATAGCCGAATTTTATTTGGTTCCCCCAAGCAATTTTCCCTTTTTTCAAACACGTACAATATTACATTTTTCAACATCTGTTGGTGGAACATCGTTGGATTTGAGCATTACAATGACTTTCCTATGTTTTAGTCCATTTTGTTTTTGCAATAGCTTTAATTATGAGAGATTTTTGTAAACTCTAAAGTTATAGGAAACTTAGTTTTACAAAGTGAATTAAAAAATACGGCCTTAAATTAACAAATATGGTTTTATGTTTGTGTGTGGATTCGGATTCTCTCCAATGATAATTAGAGAGGGTCCAATTATTCCATCTCTAACAAAAGTTGATCATCTTGCTCTTTTAACACCATCAACAATAGGATTCTAATAATTTTTGTTAGCAGCCACTAGTTCTTCATTGAATAACATATCCACCTGTCTTCTGAGCTCACATGCATTGTAGTATTGAGATTCAGTTTTTTTCTTTTAAGTCTATCATGTCATTAAGTGGCACAAAATCTCCATAGACAAGGCATTCACAACTCTCCATAAAGTTTTTCTCTTTGGTGATATATAGCATAGGAATGCATTTAGTAAATGTGGTTTATAAGTTCACATTGAAGGGGCTGATTAAACTTGATAGGTTTGGATATGTTTGCCTTTTAATTTGAATTGTCACTCCTTTTAATATGATAGGTTAATTAAAAATGATAAATGATGGAAGGGATTCAAGGATCCAACATAAATGTATAAGGGAAGAATTTGAGAGGAGAGAGGAGGAAATTATTATGGTAGTAGTCAGCTTTATAGTTGCTACCATTGGTGCTTGGTACTATACAAAGCACGTGTTAAATGATAGTTCAACAACACACAAAGAAGAGGATGAAAGGACATACCTTAGAAAGTCTTGGATTCGAACTCTTATTTGCAATGCAAATAACTATGTTGAACAACTAAGAATGAATCCTCAAGCTTTTAAAAAGTTATGTGATGTTCTATGTACTAGAGGGGGATTTGTAGCATCAAGAAATGTCACGATTGAAGAAATTGTCGCTATGTTTTTGCATATTTTAACTCATAATAAAAAATAGGACGAGCAAAATAGATTTTTATCGTATTTATCTGACTTATCTTGGATCTATCAATACCCAATATTTATTCCATAATATAGCATTATAATTTACAAGTATATTTTTGTGCTCGATCACTTTTGTTCTACTTCAGCATCCATAGAGGTTTATGAGCAAGATACCTCAGGACACATCATTTTGCTTTTATCCTCTTGATTGTTGAACCCCATGCTCCATTGTCTGATGTAATTTGAAAATACTTTCATATGCCACTTCAGCTTATTTGAATTAGTGACTAACCATATATTAAACATTATCAAAACTGACGATGTGGTCAATTGAAATCATTGGGAGTACTCTTGCATGACATGAAATCAATTTAATTGTTCTCCTACCAATTTGAGAAAGATCAATTTGGGTTTAATGCTAAACATTTTTCTTTGTGAAATTCTGTTCGTACTGCAAAGTTACTCCAATGAGTTTTATTTTCATCGCTGTCCTTTTGATATGAGCTGGCTGCATAACCCATGGATCATCTCTAGGAGTGTTAATATGAGAAACTTTAAAGATCTTGGCAAAAATCTTTGGTTTGTTCATTTAAATTTAGTATGTGTGAGCAGCAAATAGGGTGAAGTCTTCAATGACTCTTTATCTGGAGTAAGTCATTGGAATAAAACATGATTCCACATAAGCCCTTTGCAAGATTGTCTCCTTGAAATCCAGAAGATTTAATTCTTATCCACGTCACTTTTATGAATTCAAATTGATGACCTCAGATGTTCAACTATAGTCTTCTTATACATAAAGATGTCTCTCCATACTTTGTGACGAAATGGTGATACTTTGTTTCATATCTGGGAGATTCTGTCATTAGGATGGAACAATGGCAATGTTGATTTCTCAAAATCTTTTACAACCACAAGTTTTGATATCTTTAACATTATGTGGTTGAGGTTATACTCCAGTTTGATGCTAAATTAGTTGATTTGATTCTTGAATCTACACAGTGAACACTAATTTCAGTGATCATGGGTGCCTTCTGTGACTTTTGTGCGGAGCCAAGGTCTATGGTCTACTACAGTTATTTCTAATGTTGTATTGCGTCAACTTAACCTTTGCAAAGCCACTAGAGAACAAAGAACGGTAAGAACCAAACCAATATATGTTTTAGTAGCTTGTTTCTGACACTATTATTTGTTTGTCATGCATGAAGATCCTAAGAACTAGACAGCTATTTCTAAGTAATCCTTCGTGCATGATTTGCTAATTTTTTATTACTCATTCTGTGTCATTCACTTTGGTATGTATTAGGATGACAAAGAAAGGGAAACAAATTATATCTCAGTCGAGATCATATGTTGTTTGGAATCGTGATATGAACTCAACTTTAGTTAATTTGTTGTACAATCAAATGAACCAAGGATTAAAAGTCGACGGTACGTGAAAGCCTTGAGTGTATCAAGCTGCGGTGATGCACTAAAATCATTTAATAGCAACTTGAATAAAGATGACGTGAAGAATCGACTCAAATTTGGAAAACACATTAAATGTTATTTATGACATTAAAAATAAGTGGTTTGACGTGGTGGGATGATGAGAAGAAAATGGTGATTATACCCGCTAGTGAGCAAAAAGCATGGAGCGACTGTTACAGACTTACGGTAATATTGCACTTTATATTTATTAATTTGAATTATTAGTTTGTTGCATATATCTAAAACTATTTGTGAATGTTCTTATATTGCAGGCTATTCCAGATGCAAAAGGTTACCAGAATCGTTTGATTGAAATTTAGGATGACATTATGGTGTTATGTGCAAAAGATAGAGCCAATGGTGAAGGTGCAGAAACCTTTGAAGAGGCTGCTAACGCAATGCAATATGAGCAATTTGGGGGCACAATCTGAAACAAACGAAGGTGGAAGCTCTTCAAGGAAACATCTTCCTGGAGCATCAACTAGTGGTGAGACAAGTTCAAAGAAATAAAAGAAGAGGGATAAAATGGTTGATTCACTTACAGTGATGACAGCTTCTGTGAGTGAGTATTTTAATGAGAGAAAGAAGGAAGTAGTAAGAAAACCACCAACCGGAGAGGAGATTCATCAAGTGGTCTCAAAAATACTCAACTTAAGTCGTATTCAAATGTTCAATGCATTTGAGAAGATAATGGATAGCAACCCGGAAAAGTTTTATTTGTTGAAGTCACTTCTTGATAATGAAAAAAGATATTTTATTCTCTTTATTCTTAAGCAGTAGTGTCTAGTTGGATGACAAGAACCCCTAAATCTTTGAACTCATTCGAGTAAGTTATCTCTTGAATTTTTTCCTTTTTTAGGGCATATTTAACTCCCATTATTTTGTGTTTTATGTTAGGATGCACACTTATAGTTGTGATTTGCCTTTGTAGTAGATATTATTTCTGTTTTAGAGCGTATTTTGTTTCATGAACTAATTGATGCTAAATTTTTTAATGTAGGATTCAATAAGTTCTCCGAGACATGAGTTAGAAGCATAGGAGAAAAAAGAGAAGACTTTGAAGGATAAATAGACGATTCTTATTATGGTTTCTTTTAGTAGTTTATGCTGTGCTAATTTAGCTTGTTGTAGAAAATCATGGTTATCTACCATCTATAGTACGTTGTGTTTTAAATGAAGACTTATTGTGTAGCCTAAAGCTTCTTATGTGGATTGTTCGCTATACTCTTTTGTGTCGTCAAGTCTTATATCATGGCTAATTTTTAAAGTAGTACTCTTGTTATTTTGGAGATTGAAGGTCAAGGTGGTAGTGGATAAAACCATGAAAAAAGCTATTATAATGAATATTTTGGAGATGGAATGGTTAGATGCTTCTCTTGCTGATATATGTTTAGTATTATGGTGGCTTACGACTGCGAGCCTGTTAGTTGATGAATGTTGCTATTTTGATGGGGGCTTATTAGCACTCAAGAGTACCATATAGTTTGCCTACTTTGCACATTATGTATCTGGCGTGCTGTCCCGTGTTGAGGATGGATTGAGTTGCTGTAATCAATAGAAGGCTAGGAAGAAGAAAGAAACTAAAGATCTCTAGTGGGTGTTGTTGTAGCCCTTCTTCGAGTTCATTAGGAAGCTCTAGCTGAATCTTTCTTTACTTATTTTTTGTGCTAGTCGCAGGTAGTACACTCTTGCAAAAAGTTTTGCAGACTTTTTGACTGTTTTGCTGTTCTTCCGCTATTATATGTTACTAATCTTGTAATTTGATGTGAAATTTTATTAATAAATAAGCTACTAGAAAATTCGAAGATATTTTGTCAAACTTCTCAAGGGGTTTTGTGAAATTTATACTAACTTTTACCTTAACATAAATCTTAATGTACGCATAAAGTTTGAGGAGTTTAAATCCAAGTTTATGTAGAATAAAGTGTATCCAAACATTATATTTCAAATATTTGATTATAAATCCTTACATTTTGTAAAGACATCCAAACAAAAGATTCTATCCAATCATGGATTTTAAATCCTAGATTTAAATTGCTTTGATTTTAAATCTAACACTCCAAATTCAAAAATAATTGTTGTTTAAGAAATATACTCCTTTTTCTTCATAATTTCCCTTCTCACCCTCAAAACATCAGCGAAGCTTATATTTTCAAACCCTCTCGCAGTGACTGCAGCAGAAAGGGATCAATGGCGGCCGCCCTCAGACAATCGATCCTCCGCCACATCCGAGGCCGCCCTCAGACAATCGATCCTCCGCCACATCCGAGCCCCAATCCGAACCCTAACCCTAGAAAATTCCCGCCATATACCCTCACTCCGATCCTTCTCCTCCCACGACGACCACCTGACGAAAGAAGAAGTCATCGAGCGAGTGCTCGACGTCGTCAAGAGCTTCCCCAAGCTCGATCCCTCAAAGGTACAAAAACCCCAACCCAAATTTCCGAAAAAAAAATTCTCATGATCCGAACTTCAAAACCCTAACCCTAACCCTAATTTTTTTTTTGTTTTAGGTGACGCCTGAGGCCCACTTTCAGAAGGATCTGGGGCTAGACAGCTTGGACAAAGTGGAGATTGTGATGGCGTTGGAGGAGGAGTTCAAGCTCGAGATCCCGGATAAAGAGGCGGATAAGATTGATTCGACTGCGCTTGCGATCGAGTACATTGCGAATCACCCGATGGCAGGTTAATTTGGGGGTAAAAAGGTTGTTTTTTTTTGCAATTTTAGTAGTCTTTTTATTTTCAAAGGGTTAAGCTGCCGAATTGGTGGAAAGTGGAAACTAATGTTGCTTTGACCTGGAATTGTTGGATAGCTGTTTAAATGCAGTTTGAATATGAATATCGCACCCAGATCGCATTATTAAATGCAGTTTGAATATGAATATTGCACCCAGATCGCATTACTTTTACACGTATTCTGATCAATAACTGTTTCGAATTATGCTGCAGCTTTTTCAAGGTTTGTGCTTGTTGGCTTGCTTTTGTTTGATTGAGGAGAAATTATCACTTTGAACACATTTGGTGAATAATTCAAAGATTACAAACTGTGTTTATACACCTGAAATTTGCTGATCGAGTTTATAATTCAACGCGGCTGGCTTATGAATGTTAAAAATAATTAGTCCGTGCAGTAACTTCTTCTGGCTTTAATTCTACAAGATATATTATATATCTCTAGAAAAATCTGAGTGCATGCCGTCAGAGTTCAACATAGGCTGATAGACTTATGTTATTGTTCAGTGTTATGTCGATCCCTCTCTGATCAGAATCTCCTTGGCCAAGTGATTTCCAGGTCTTAGGTTTATTTCAAGGTCATAACAGGCTGTATAATATTTGGTCAATACCGTAGCCTACTCGTCATCCCGTGGAAGAAGACAGTGAGTAGATTGTATATAACTATAAAGAAATTATGAGGAAACATATTTGTCAGATGCTTGTCCATATTCTCTTGATCATTGGAGAAGACGAGAAAAAATCGTAAACGAACCTACCCCACCTTCCCTCCGGCCGCCACCTGAAAACAAAAAATAAAAAGAAAATTGATGACTTTGATTGACTAACCTTCCCCTTGTCTGGATATAGATACTTAGGGATTGTTGTTATTTTGCATGGATTTAATAGTTCTGCAGTGAAGACGAGCTCTCAGACTATTGCCTCTGGCATGAGCTTTATGAACTGGAGAGGTTGATGGGACTCTCAATTATTTTCTTCTATGATGTTGTTTTGCGCGACTGAGTTTGACATAAAAGAACATGGCAGTTGATCATAAGTCGCTGAATGTCCTTAGTAGGAACTGGATTAGTTTACATTGTTATGTTTTGATTCTTCGAGCTTATTGTTGTATGTTTAGTGCATGAGACTCTTATACGCTACTTTCATTCAGTGCCTTTAAACCAAGGATCCAACTACCTGACCTTTTATACATTCTCTTTAATTTCCTTTAAGCTTATCTTGCTTTATCCAAATTTAGTACCTACTTACTGCCTGTTGTGCACTCATGCAAATATTTGTACCTAATGAATCAGGTGCAGTGTATAAGAAGACGATCCCCTCTTCTATATATCATTTTTCACTTTTTCTTTTATTAACTTTATTCTCCATTTAGTCCCTTTATCGAGCTAGATTATGGTAGCATTATATTCAGGCAGTGGGATTCAAGAAGATCAATTGTTGTTAACCCCATTTATATTTATCCATATGTGAAGAATCAAGAAGAAACTTGTAGCAGTTTAGTATACATTATATTCAGGCTTCTGGATTAAGGTGGTTTTCCATAGGATACTCATTTTGTAGAGTTTGTTGTGTTGTATTTGAGTTGGCATTTACTTCCTACATGGCTGCAACTCCATCAATATGAGATCTTTATAGGTAAGGTTGACTCACCTGATAGGGACCTAAGATATACAACAGTTGATGGATTATCGCATCGTTGAAGAGAGGAATTTTTGTTGGAAGAGGATCTGATATATACATGTATTTATCCGGATGTGTACTCAATTATATAATATATGTTCTAATTTTAGTACACTTGTTATAACACTTCTTGGATGTTTATCCTACACTTAACATCTACTTCTTGAAGCTCATTGGACACGTGTCCGGTTCATTTCAGTCCATGTCCATGCCTAGTTCAGATCTATGATTAGAGGTTTGCGTATCTAGTTCAAAAACAAGCGGTTCAATCTATCATCTACATAATAAACGAAACATAAAAATGTTATAGGAATTTTTGTTCTTGTAACACGCGAATGAAAAAAAATAATAATGGACTTGTGTAAATTATTAGTTTTGATACTTGTATATAGCCGTGCTCCCATACACCACCTTTTACAAATATCCACGTGTCCGATATCCGAACAGTACCCATGAAAAAAATGATGTTGCTTGGTTCGATGCTCCCAAGTGGTCTTGTTTTCATCAACACTGTACCCAAATATTTTTCTCCAAGCATGCTCCCAGGCCCCAGCCCTTGTAGCTGTGGCTGAATTTGTGTTGGAGGCCACAAAACTGAAATCTAGGAAATCTATACATTACCGAAACCACCCACTCCCCCAGAGAAAATCCCAGAAAAATTACACTATGTATAGAAGGATGCTCTCCACGCATGCTCACACTTCTGGGATGCGTAGAGCTTCATTTGTGCGACACTGGTGCTAGAAAATGTGTCGTGCGTTACACCCTTTATTAATGTAGTGTATTTTGTATACCGAAAATCGTATTGCTAGCACGAGGCATTCTGCATTCATGTGCAGAACATGGACAGCTTAGCGGTGAATCGTTGGAAAAACTGGGGCCTCGTCAAATGGAGGTAAAGAGAGATGTAATTTTAAGAGTATGGAGCAAGAGAGAGAAGTTTAAGATGCAACAAGTTAGCATAGAGTAGAAGGATGTAGCCCCTGTATTTTATAGGCAAGAGGGGTGTGTGTGTGTGTGCTTTTTTTTTTTTTCTAGTGAGCAACATGATAATTTAGAGCGATGTTACATTTTCGTTGCGAAGAAAAACTTTGCGGTTGTAATTCTTTGCAGTAAATAAAAATTTAAAAGGTAATCTCATCTTAACAAGTCAGTGAAAATCAACTTAAAAGAAGGAATTTTTACCTTCTTCTTTTTGTCATGTGCATACCACTGACATGTTAGAGTTGGTGTAGCCAATTTGATGATTAAATGTTTTTATGTGAAATTAAGTAAAACAGATCATGAGCAATTTTTCCGTCTTCTCTTTTTGTCATGTGCTTACCACTAACACGTTGGAGCTGATGTTGCCAATTTGAAGATTAAATGTTTTATGTAAAATTTAGTGAAACAAAATAGTTCTTGGGGTTATGTACAACTCACCAAAAGTTCATGGGACTTAGTGTAATAAAAAAAAGTTGATGAGAGGTTTACTGCAACTCCCCAGAGGTATTACATGATGCTATTCAGGAATTTTCAAATGTATTATTTGATGCTATTTGCATCACATTTTCGGGTGTGTTTGGACTGAATAAAAGCAACAAGGCTACGGCCATTTCAAGAGGAAAAAAAAACCAAAAAAAATATCTATAAAATGGGAGAAGAATGTAGACTCTTAATGTTTGGGAAAAATGATTGTTCCCCAATCCCTCCCACAAAAGTACGTTCTATTTGGAGTTAATACTTTAAAATCTATCTGATGAAGAGACCAATAATTTGGAGTTAATACTTCAATATCTCTCTGATGAAGAGACCAAGGGGGTGTCATTTAAAACAGCTTGATATAGGTTTAAGATTGCAAATTAGAATGACATAAAATTAAGAAAAGTTTTAGGGCCTAATATGAACAAAAAACTTAAAAATTTTATGTAGATTGCTAGTAAATGATAGAACTTCTCATTGAATCAGCCATTCCTCATAAGAAGCTTATACATTTCAAATCTGTATGTTGAAATTTTAGTCTTTGCGCTCGGGAAAAAAAAAGGAGAATACGTTTTAGATTTTATTTTGGGAACTCCTTGTTTTGTGATGCATATTTTTTATGAGGATTTAAAAAAAAAAAGAATTTATATTCAATAGGATGGTCTATTTAGAATATGGTAAAGCATAACTAGCCTCCATATAAGCCTCTCACAATTTCATCCGATCTGTATACGTCATCTTAGTATGGGGGCTCATTGATCGCCCATGGGTACCATGGGATCCAATTCTTTTTTTTCTTTTTTTGAGATGAGCTAGTTGTTTTTCTCTAACTTTATTATCTTTAAATTAAGGATAATGCAATATCATTGCATGATCTAGTCTAAGTTGAGCATGATTAGGACTTTTTTATTCCGTCACAGGTGTAAATCGACTCTATTTTGACTACGCCCGTACGGATAGTTGACCTACCAGAGGACCCGAATCTATAAAAATGAAATTAAAAAAATACATTAAAAACCATGTATGAGAAATAATATATATGAAAGAAGAAGAAATTACATGCTTCAGCATATCGATTTGAACCAATTTATTATATTTTATTTTAATAATATAGTGATTTATTATTTTATACGCATTAAAATAGTTCAAGAGGATTCCTGGGAAAACCCCAATAATTTGGTGGGGTTTTTTGAAATTGACCCTTCTTTCCCTTTGGAAGAGGTAAAGAGAACATACCAACAACAAACATGGTGCAGCGAAAAAAAAAACGTATTGAAGAGGGCTACAATCATAATTTGAAGGATAAATCAGCAACTGTGATTGCTATTACAATATAGCTACAATTTTCGAAATACATATCAAATAAACCCTTAATGTTCAGTTTTAAATTAATTGAAGAGAGCTACAATCATAAAAAAAAAATTAGTATGCGGTATTACATTATAATTTACAAATTGCTAACTTTATTTAGACTAGTGTTGATGATTTTGATATACCCAAACAAACTCATTAGTTTTGAAGGAAAATAGGGCAGAAAGCCCTACCTATGATAAATATATAAAACTTGAATAGAACGTCTTACAAAAGTAGTTATCTACCGATGATTTAGTCACCAGCTCCGAGGTGGAGAAAAAGCTAAATCACAAGTAGAAAACTAAAATATATATACAAAAAACCAAAACAAAGCTTAAAAACCAGAAGATGGAGAAAACCGAAAATAAAGATAGAATGTTTGTTACAAAAGGCCATCTCAGTCAACAAACATAAACTCCCCGATCAGGTGATCATATTACTATCTTCACTTGATTCCATAATCTCCGGCAGCCCAGAGGAGCGGATTAGCCGCTACAGCTTGATTGTCTTCTTGGAGGAGGAGACACCTGACCAGAAAATGAGAAAATTAACTGCTTTGGAGATGATTTGCTGAGGAGAGTAAATCAGGTTAGAGAAGATGCGATCATTCCTAGCTTTCCAAATGACCCAACATATAGCCGGGAAGCAGATGCCCCAAAGAAGACGAACGGATGGCTGGATGGACATGTCAGAGCAAATGGCAAGGCATAGGTTGATGTTGGTAGGGAGGGAGTCAATACCAATCTTGGA